GAGCCTCTTCACTTTTTGCCATAAGGGTTGTGTCATCTGCATATCTGCGGTTATTGATATTTTTCTGTATTAGTTTCTCCTGTACAATGAGGGGAATCAGCTATATGTATAAATATATCCCCTCCCTCTAGGACTTCCGTCCCATTTCCCCACACCCCACCCCTCTAGGTAACTGCTGACATCTGAAACCTCATCCCTGAGTCTTTTCTTTCTCTCCACATCTTAGCAGACAGAAAAGAGAGCCTGGGCACTGCCTCCCTTGGTACCAGTGGGCAATTCAAACCATACAGGAGGCACCTGCCTGTGCTGGAACCCTCACCAAGGCCCCACCCCTAACACAACAGAAGCCCAAGTGCGTCTCCTTTCCTGGCTCTCAAGTCATTTTTAGACCAGCTTGAGGGGCCTGCACTGGTCACCCCAGAAAGCCTCCTTGTGTAAGGGGTAAACACTTCCATACCTTCTTAATGTGTATGTGTGTGTGTCTGTGTGTGTGTGTTGTTATCAGTCTCGACAGCTGGACCAAAGTTTGGGTGAGAGTCCATCTTTCTGAAAGATGTCGCAATGACAAAACTAAGTAAGCATTTAGAAGATCTGAGTAACATAATAACCTTGTGATAATAAACTTGCACCTTTTATTACAAGGGGGCTTCCCTAGTAGCTCCAATGGTAAAGTGTCTGCCTACAATGCAGGAGACCCGGGTTTGATCCCTGGGTCAGGAAGATCCCCTGGAGAAGCAAATGGCAACCCACTCCAGTACTCCTGCCTGGAAAATCCCATGGACCAAGGAGCCTGGTAGGCTACAGTCCATGGGGTTGCAAAGAGTCAGACATGACTGAGCGACTTCACTTCACTTCTTCACTTTTTGTATTACAAGATGGTGGAGTAGAAGGACATTCGCTTATCTTCTCCTGTGAGAACCTGCAACTAACCACTGAACAACCATCAACAGGAGAATGTTGGATCCCACTACAAAAAGATACCTCATGTCTCAGAGCAAAGGAGAAACCCCAACAAGACACTGGGAGGGGTGAAATCACATTTAGAATCAAACCCCATACCAGTCATAGATGCTTGGAGGGTTCAAACAAAACATTGTGCACACCAGGACCCAGGGACCCTACAGGAGACTGAGCCAGACCTGCCTTTGAGTGTTTGGGCATCTCCTGAGGAGGCATGGGTCAGCAGTGGCCTGCTGCAGGGGCAGGGTCTCTGGCTGCAGCAGACCTGAGAGGTGTGTGAGCCCCACCATAGAGCCACTGAACTGACAACCCATAAATTGGAGCACAATTATACCAAAGAAGTTCTCGCACTGTTGCAAAAGTGCTTGGGTCCACAACAGATTTCCCAACCTGGGGATCTGGCAAAGGGACTTAGAACCCCCAGGGAATTTGACTTTGAAGGCCAGTGGGATTTGATTACTGAACTTCCACAAGACTGGGGAAACAGACTCCTGGAGGGCACAAACAAAACCTTGTGTGCACCAGGACCCAGGAGAAAGGAGCAGTGACCCCACAAGAGACTGAGCCACACTTGCCTGTGAGTGTCTAGGAGTCTCCGGCAGAGGCCTGCTGTGGGGTCAGGGGCACTGAATACAACAGTCTTGGCATAAGTCCTTTTGAAGGAGGTCTCCATTACCCCACCATAGTTTGACTTCAGGCCAAACTACAGGGGGCCCCAACCACTAATGCCTCAGGCCAATCAGTCCATCCTAAAGGAAATCAGTCCATCCTAAAGGAAATCAGTCCTGAATATTCATTGGAAGAACTGATGGTGAAGCTGAAACTCCAATACTTTGGCCACCTGATGTGAAGAACTGACTCATTGGAAAAGACCCTGATGCTGGGAAACATTGAAGGCAGGAGGAGAAGGGGATGACAAAGGATCAGATGGTTGGATGGCACCACCAAGTCGATGGATGTGAATTTGAGTAAGCTCTGGGAGTTAGTGATAGACAGGAAGCCTGGTGTGCTGCAGTCCATGGGGTCACAAAGAGTCAGACACCACTGAGTGACTGAACTGAACTGAAACTACAGGGAGGGAACACAATCCCACCTGTCAACAGAAATGGATTAAAGATTTACTGAGCATGGCCCCACACATCAGAGCGAGACCCAGATTCCCCCACAGCCAGTATCTCCCATCCAGGAAGCTTCTGTAAGCCTCTTACCCTTATCCATCAGAGGGCAGACAAACAGGATGGAAACCACAATTACAGAAAACTAACCAAACTGATCACTTGGATCACAGCCTGTCTAACTCAGTGAAATTATGAGCCATGCTGTGTAGGGCCACCCAAGATGGACGGGTCACGGGGGCGAGTTCTGAGAAAACATGGTGCACTGGAGAAGGGAACAGCAAACCACTTCAGTATTCTTGCCTTGAGAGCCCCATGAACAGTATGAAAAGGCAACAAGATATGACACTGAAAGATGAACTCCCCAGGTCAGTAGGTGCCCAATACGCTACCGGAGAAGAGTAGAGAAGTAGCTCAGCGAAAAATGAAGAGGCTGAGCCAAAGTGAAAACAGTGCCCAATTGTGGATGTGACTGGTGATGGAAGTAAAGTCCGATGCTATAAACAACAATATTGCATAGGAACCTGGAATGTTAGGTCCATGAATCAAGGTAAATTGGAAACAGTCACACAGAAGATAGCAAGAGTGAACATTGACTGTTTAGGAATCAGTGAACTAAAATGAACTGGAATGAGTAAATTTAATTCAGATGACCATTATATCTACTACTGTGGGCAAGAATCCCTTAGAAGAAATGGAGTTGCCTTCATAGTCAACAAAAGAGTCCAAAATGCAGTACTTGGGTGCGATCTCAAAAACGACAGAATGATCTCTGTTTGTTTCCAAGGTAAACCATTCAATATTACAGTAAATCCAAGTCTAGGCCCCAACCACTAATGCTGAAGAAGCTGAACAGTTCTATGAAGACCTACAAGACCTTCTAGAACTAACACCAAAAAAAGATGTCCTTTTCATCACAGGGGACTGGGATGCAAAAGTAGGAAGTCAAGAAACACCTGGAGTAACAGGCAAGTTTTGCCTTGGAGTACAAAATGAAGCAGGGCAAAGGCTAACAGTTTTGCCAAGAGAACGCACTGGTCATAGCAAACACCCTCTTCCAACAACACAAGAGACAACTCCACACATGGACATCACCAGATGGCCAGTACTGAAATCAGCTCGATTATATTCTTTGGAGCCAAGGATGGAGAAACTCTATATAGTCAGCAAAAACAGAACTGGGAGCACTGAAGAAAGTAGGAAGAACCACTGGAACATTCAGGTATGACCTAAATCAAATCGCTTACAATTATACAGTGACAAATAGATTCAAGGGATTATATCTGATAGAGTGCCTGAAGCACTATGGAGAGAGGTTTGTAACATTGCACAGGAGGCAGTGATCAAAACCATCCCCAAGAAGAAGAAATGCAAAGATGCAAAATGGTTGTCTGAGGAGGCCTTACAAATAGCTGAGAAAAGAAGAGAAGTGAAAGGCAAAGGAGAAAAGGAAAGACATACCCATCTGAATGCAGAGTTCCAAATAATAGCAAGGAGAGATAAAAAAGCTTTCCTAAGTGATCAATGCAAAGAAACAGAGGAAAAAAATAGAATGGAAAGACTAGAGATCTCATCAAGAAAATTAGAGATGCCGAGAGAACATTATTAGAGAACATATTAGAGAACATTTCATACAAAGATAGGCATAATAAAGAACAGAAATGGTATGGACCTAACAGAAGCAGAAGATATTAAGAAGAAGTGGCAAGAATACACAAAATAATAGTACAAAAGAGATCTTAATGACCCAGATACTCACGATGGTATGATCACTCTCCTAGAGCCAGACATCCTGCAGTGCGAAGTCAAGTGGGCCTTAGGAAGCATCACTACAGCGAAGCTACTGGAGGTGATGGAATTCCAGTTGAGCTATTTCAAATCCTGAAAGATGATGCTATGAAAGTGCTGCACTCAATATGCCAGCAAATTTGGAAAACTCAGCAGTGGCCACAGGACTGGAAAAGGTCAGTTTTCATTCCAGACCACCCCCCTCCAAAAGGGCAATGCCAAAGAATTTTCTAACTACTGCACAATTGCACTCATCTCACACACTAGCAAAGTAATGCCCAAAATTCTTCAAGCTAGGCTTCAATAGTATGTGAACTGAGAACTTCCAGATGTGCAAGCATGTTTTAGAAAAGGCAGAGGAACCAGAGACCAAATTGCCAACATCCACTGGATCATAGAAAAATCAAGAGAATTCCAGAAAAAACATCTACTTCTGCTTCATTGACTACACTAAAGCCTTTGACTGTGTGGATCATAACAAATGTAAAAAATTCTTAAAGATATTGGAATACCAGACCACCTTACCTGCCTCCTGAGAAATCTGTATACAGGTCAAGAAGCAACAGTAAGAACCAGACATGAAACAACAGACTGGTTCCAAACTGGGAAAGCAGTTCATGAAGGCTGTATATTGTCACCTTGCTTATTTAACTTACATGCAGAGTACATCATGCGAAATGCCAGGCTGTCTGAATCACAAGTTGGAATCAAGACTGTCGAGAGAAATAACAATAACCTCAGATGTGCAGATGACACCACCCTTGTGGCAGAAAACAAAGAGGAATTAAAGAGTCTCTTGGTGAAGGTGAAAGAGGAGAGTGAAAAAGCTGACCTAAAACTCAACATTCAAGATCATGGCAACTGGTCCCATCACTTCATGGCAAATAGATGGGGAAACAATGGAAACAGTGACAGACTTATTTTCTTGGGCTCCAAAATCACTGCAGATGGTGACTGTAGCCATGAAATGAAAAGACGCTTGCTCCTTTTCATTGGAAGAAAAGCTATGACCAATCTAGACAGCATGTTAAAAAGCAGAGACCTAACTTTGCCAACAAAGGTCTGTCTAGTCAAGGCTATGGTTTTTCCAATAGTCATGTATGGATGTGAGAGTTGGACCATAAAGATAGCTGACAGCTAAAGAATTGATGCTTTTGAACTGTGGTGTTTGAAAAGACTCTTGCGAGTCCCTTGGACTGCAAAGAGATCAAACCAGTCAATCCTAAAGGAAATCAGTGCTGAATATACACTGGAAGGACTGATGCTGAAGCTTAAGTTCCAATACTTTGGCCACATGATGCAAAGAACTGACTCACTGGAAAAGACCCTGATGCTGGGAAAGATTGAAGGCTGGAGAAGAAGGGGATGACCAATGATGGGATGGTTGTATGGCATCACCAACTCAATGGACATGAGTTTGAGCAAGCTCCAGGAGTTGGTGATGGACAGGGAAACCTGTAGTGCTTTAGTCCATGGGGTTGCAAAGAGTTGGACACGACTGAGTGACTGAACTGAACTGAATGCATAGACAGAGAACATGGAAGCCAAAGAAAACTGTATGCAATATTTTTAATCACCTTGGAATATTTACAAAGTTTGAACACATATTAGGTCTCTAAGAAAACTCAGAAGCAAAATCCTGTGGAGGGTGAGTTCTGCCTAGGATTTGGAAAGCTGGGATGATCATTATCCCAGTCTACAAATGAGAAAAGTTGGACAACCTCAAAATTACAACTTTTCTTAAACCCATCAGAAAGCTGGGATTTTGACTATCCAGCGTTTGAGTTTAGGGTCCTCTCCCTAATCGGTGTGCTCTTACTATTCAGACTGAAGCTTTCAGACTCCTCAGATAGGTGCTCACTTTGTCTTATCCGCACCAGAAGTCTCTCGATATTAGAAGGATGGCTTCCTGGGCATAGAAATCTGAGCCTAAAGCCTTTAATGGTGTCACCTCACTGTCGTTATTGTCAGAATACATCCAGGCCCAGCCCCTTGGTGGTCTTCTGTCTCTGGAGAGGAAACAGGGTCACTCAGTCCCACCCCAAATTGCAAGGACATGAGATCTGCATCCACGTGAACCTGCATCAGGGCAACAGTGAGGCCGACCTGCCACTCTGCATTCCAGGGTAGTCAGTGCCCAGAAACAAGCTGGAGGATCCATCACACTGAGGGGAGTGAACCTGGAGAGACCCCCTCCCCGTGCTGCGGGTGTGCAGGGCAGGCCTGGAGTTCCAAGCGGAGTGGGGACACTGAGAAAAACCTTCCAGCAAGCCATCCTCCACCCTCAGCACTGGTGATGCTGAGGAATGTGAGGTCAGTGGGCACTAAGGGTAACCATGGCAACCACAAAACCCAGAGCCAGTCAGCCTGTAGCCTGCCTGACCCCTGCAATAGCAGCCAAACAGAAGAAGAAAAATGTCCATTTCCAGATATAAATACTGTTAACCGCAGTCTCTATTGCCTTCCAGACAGTATCTTGCTCTCAGTAATTACAAGACACATAAAAAAGAAAGAAAAACTCCCACAATCAAGACACAAAAATCACCAGAACCAGATTCGGATGTGACTCAAATGCTGGGGTTGTCAGACCGGATTGATATGAAGGCTCTAGAGGAAAAGATGACAAAGAAAAGAGTGTAGACTTTGAGCGCAGAGATGGAGACAGAAGGGGCCCACGGAAATAAAAACAGGGGATAGGGATGAAGGATCTTCAACAGTTTCACGAGGAGACTCAGTACAGACAAGGGGAAGAACTGTGAACTTTGAGATAAGACCATGGAGATAACCCAGACTAAACAGAGAGGAAAGACGGGCCCCACCCCCAACAGAACAGAGCAAACAAAAGCCTGCAATGATTTCAAATGGCCTAACATGGCAAGCCACTCCAGTATTCTTGCCTGGAGAATTCCATGGACAGAGGAGCCTCGCGAGCTACAGTCCATGGGGTCGCAAAGGGTTGGACACAACCGAGCCACTCTCACACACACAACATACAACTGGCAACAATTGGAGTCACAGAAGGAGAAGCAAGAATAGGCAGGAGATATATTTGAAAAAATAATGGTTGGGAATTTTCTATAAGACACCATGGCACAGATTCAAATTCAGAAGGATTTAAATGAATACAGAGAAGACTGGCAGGCTGTAGTCCACAGGGTCACAGAGTCGAAAACAACCAAAGTGAATAAGCAGCAGCAGCATAATAAACATACAAAAGTCACACCAAGACACATCATATTCAAAGTGATGAAAGCCAAAGGTAAGGAAGACACCTTGAAGGCAGATAGAGGGAAAAGAGACACATCACATGGAGAAGAACAAGGACCAGAAGACCACACACCTGATGCAGAGACCACGGAAGCCGGAGACCAGGAAGAGGAAGTATAGATGCCTTTATACACATGGAGCTCAGATCTCTACACCCAGCAAACTAGCCTTCCGAAGACTAGGAGAGACTTCTGGTGTGAGCAACTCTGGGAAGACCCTGAAAGGCTAGAATGAGGTAGGTTAGAGAGCAGACCCAAAGCTCAGAGACTCCATGCGGTGGCTTTCCAGGTGTTCTTCCTCTTTCATCTCCCAGCTCCGACCAGAGGGTGCCCCCAGTGTGGGGGTGACAGGCCAGTGCAGGTGGCAAAACCCCAAGGGAAACCCTGTCTCCCTAGCCAGAGAAGAGGAGGCCGTGCGAACGGAAGGCTGCGGTGAATCCAGGTTTTGTGCTCATTTACTCCTGGACAGATCCCGATCCTGGAGCAGCACAGTGCGGGCAGCGCATCCGCCCAAACCTCAGCAGAAAACCCCTCCCCCTGGCCACAGAAACCGGGAAACGGCCCCGTGGTCTAGAAAAATCGTCAGCGATCCTTCATTTTATCCCTCTTTCCTCCCTGCTGGATCCCTGGGCAGCCTCCGGTCACCTGACTCCACCTAGCCCTTCCCTGCGGAGGTGGGGCCCCTCTGCCGACCACCTCCCGACCCCAAATGAGGGTGTGAGTCCTCCCCAGCTGTCCTGGCGGGGTCTGGGGAACATCCTAGAAACAGCCCTCGCGCCTGTCAGATCTGGGAGGTGCTGCAAAAGCCTGGGGCTAGAGGTGCAGCCGTGAGAGCAGGCTGGGGACGCAGGGCTTAACAGTACATCCGGCTTCACCGGGGTCATCCTCTTGCATCCCTGGACGGGCAGCACCCTCGCCTTCTGGGAACAGTACACAGGCTGGATCAGAGACTCTGGGGCGGGGCCCAGCCATCCGGGTTTTAAGGGCCTTCCGGGGGATTCCGGGATTCCGGGATTCCGACGCAGCTCCAGCTTGAGAGCCCTAGTGTGCGGTGCTCAGCCGGGACACTTCAGACAAACTGTCAGGGCATCTCGGAGGAACACAGGCTCTGGTTTATCAGGCCCTGGGTGGGCACTGACGCTCTGCAAGCCGATCGAGCTCCCAGGTGACGCCAGGCTACTTAACCCGGGCCACACCACGCGGAGCAAGCCTCTGGGGCTGTCCTTCTAAGCCTTACTGTGCATTACCATCACCTGGAAACGCTGGGGAAAACCCACCTCTTGCGTCCCTCCCTTCCCAAACCCACACCAGTGCTCCTGGAGGCGGGGCCAAGCACGGGAGAGAGTAGTGGACGAGCTGGAGGCCCACTCCCCTAGTGGGCGTGCCTGGAGGCGGGGCCTGGCACAGGTTGAGGCAGTGAGCTGCCAAGGTGGGTTCGCGGCTGTGGAGCAAAGGTCTGGGCTCCTGGAAACGAGGCCCTTGGTAGGCCTAGTACGTGAGCCTGTGCCCTGCCCCTCCAGCCAAATTCAGGGCACTTCCTGCACCGAGTTATGGAGAAATGCACAGGCAAAGCGCACTCAGCGGCTGACCTCTGCAGATTGGAGAGTCTACCATGGATCACCAAGGGGTCCTAGCGGGGTGGATGCCAGGGGTCAGCACCAGAAGCTAGAGATAGACCAGGAGGAAATAATATGTTACCTGGAAGGAAGGAGAGGAATCAGAATTTTTTTAAGCCCCAGGAACTGTCAGGGGAGAGGCCCTGAGAATGAAACTGATGCATAGCTGCTAAGCTAGCAGGCGGGAAAATTCTAGGCCTTTTGGTCAAAGACTTCCCAAAGTCTGGCAAAGGATTCCCCTGTGGCTCAGCTGGTCAAGAACCCGCCTACCAATGCAGGAGATGCAAGAGAAGCAAGTTTGATTCCTGGGTCTAGAAGATCCCCTGGAGAAGGAAATGGCAACCTGATCCAGTGTTCTTGCCTGGGAAATTTCATGGACAAGGGAGCCTGGTGGGCTACAGTCCATACGGTCACAGAGTCAGACATCTCTGAGTATGCAAATACATTCGGACAAAACCCAGCTGTAACGGTAATGGGGACACCTGGCTTTTCCCCAGTGGTCTCCAGGCTGGTGAGAAAGGACCCTGTCACTCAGCCACAGGTGAGACCATGGAGTGGTTCTCAGGGCTTCCCCAGATGGACCTGTAGCCATTTCCAAGGGCCACTGTCCTGGAGCGAAGGAAATCCCTGACCTTCGGGGGTTACTACCGGCTCAAGATGATAAAGAAGTTGCCTCCCAATGCAGGAGACTGGGGTTCAATCCCTGAGTCAGGAAGATCCCTTGGAGGAGAGAATGGCAACCCACTCCAGTAATCTTGCCTGGAGAATGGCAAGGACAGAGAAGCAACATTTTCCGTGGGGACCTGGCCAGCCACAGAGGTCCGCTGCAGATTGGGGCCTGTGGAGGCCAGATGAAGATGGGTCCCACTCGAGTCTAGCTCACTGTGGGCCCGTGGGAACCAGAGGCCCAGACGTGTCAGGGACGAACTCACCTGGTCCTCCCCACTGGTGCCTGGGACTGAAGGGAAGACCGCCCTATAGATAGGCCTAGGAAGCTGTGGAACCCACTCCTGCTGCTGAGATGGTGAGCAGAGCCCTGCATCCCAGAACAGGTGCCACAGGCTACTGCACCCCAAGGGTCAAAAGTGGGGCTCCCTGCACATGACGAGCTGGGTCATGTCCCCCAGATTCACCAGCCGAAGCCCTAATCCCAGCACTCAGAATGTCAAGCTCTGGTTAATGAAGAAATGAAGTTAGAATGAAGTCACTGAGTGAGCCCTAATCCCGTCTGTCCGGGTCCTTCCAAGGAGAGGAGGTGAGGACAGACAGACAGAGGGACGGCCGCGCGCTTCCACAGGAGGGGCCACCTGAGACTCCCGGCCTTCAGACTTTGAGACAGGAAATGTCTGTTGTATATGCCTCGAGTCAGTGGTCTTGTCACGGTGGCTGCAGCAGAGGCACTCCAAGATCCTCTGAGCCCCCCTCTGGCTGTTGCAGGGCAGATGAGTCCTGAGGAGTGGCTGGGGTCACTGCCAGGCCCCAAGGGTCACAGCTGCCAGGGTGAATTAACTCGGCTCCCAGCACCTGGGCTCCCTCCAGCTGCTGGCCTGGCACCTGCTTCCCTCTCCTCTCCCAGCCCTGCCAGCCAAGACCACCTGCCGCCTGTGCCTCCATGCTGACCTCAGGCCAGTTGACCTGGCTCTGTCGTCTGCAGCGCCTGACCCGACTATGACATCACCGGAGCTAACAGGCCTGGTGACTAGGCGGTAGGGAGCCCAGATGCTCAACCAGACCCTATGCGCCCCTAGACAGTGGGGGGTAGCGGCCTGATCAGGGCAGGTGGCCTGCCAGGGGTCTGGCTGTTGGGAACACACTAGAATGTCCCCTGGGGGCCGTTGCTGAGTTGCTGCCGACGGTGGGCAGCACGCTTGGCCAGTGCAGTCACAGATCGTGGAGCCCATGTTCAGGCAGCTCTGGTCAGAGGTCTTTGATGCCTAGCGGGCCCAGGGAAAGGCACAGGAATGTGGAGTCGGGGTCACAGGGCCTGGGGCAAGCTGACCGGAGCAGCGGGGTCAGGCAGTGAGCACAGCGGCCCAGTTCTGACCCCAGACCCCACCACGTGCTCCAGAGCCCAGGACTCTGTGTCTTGTGGCCCCTAAAGAGGCTCCTGCTCATTTTGGTGCCTGGGCCCTGGGATTCAGTCACTGAGTGGGCAGGCTCCCTGTGGGCTGGCACAAGCTGGCGGGCAGTGAGCGCCTGGAACCTTCCTGAAAGGTGGGCCAGTTTCCCCAAGCAGCCACCTAGCTGGGCCCCCACCGTGGTTTCCCTTCCTGTGTCCTGAGGGGAGGCCGCAGAGCCCAGTCCCAGGTGTGAATAGGTCCAACCTCCTCCCACAGCAGCCTGGAGGGGCTGGCGGTGCCCCGCCTGCCCGTCCCTTCCAGGTGCCCTCAGCAACCCTGTGACTGAGACTAACCTCGGAGTTTGGAGCAGAGAATGTTTATCGCAGGGCTGAGCAAAGAGACACGTGGCTTGTGCTCAAAAAAACCCCAACTAAGCAGCAACTCGGAAGATGGAGGGGCCCTCCTCACACCAGGCAGAGACCCGGGGGGCGGGGGGGGCAGGGAGCTGGGGACGAGGGGGTGTCTGTGCTGGCCACGGTCTGCAACAGGGGAACTGCAGGTGGAATGAATGCATGGCGGGGCAGGGCCCGGGGGCCACTCAGCTCGTGGTGTGAAGCATCCCTACCAGCCTGGCATCAGGAGCAGGCTGCGCACTCGTGCCAATGGGTCCTGAAACCCGTCTTAGACTCCAGCAGCCCTGCTGCCCTTGCTTGCCAAGCACTCACATCCACAGCCCCCAGAAATGAAACACAAGGAATGCAAGGCATAGTCAACAAAAGCATGTATTAATCAGCTGATTGGAAACTGGTTAAAGATTAAGGCACTCAGACTCGTGGTTTCCTTGAGGTTACAACCTCTGGCTGCTCTTGGTGCTGCTTCAGAAGAACATGAGACGGCAGAGCCGCTCCCGGGAGGGCTCTGTGCTGTGTGGGAGGGTGGCACGTGCACCAGCAACCCCGCTCTAACAACCCATTTTATCTACAACCTGGCTTGGCTTTCAGCTCAGCAGCCTCAAGTCAAGAAAGAGTGATTTTACATTCATACTAACTACCATGTTAATACAAAGTTCATTAGTCTACTACAAAGTTTATGAACAAACAGCATAAAGTAAAAATTCGCAGACTGTTATATTTAGGAATGTTTCCTAATACTTTCATTGCTATCAAATGCCCAAGAAATCAGAGAAATAAGACAAAGGATTTTGTTAAAGGTTGTTTCTGGTCTGTGAAATGTGAGGGTGGAACTGTGAGGTCACACACAGATCCGTGCGGCTAACCAGGCACGTGTGACCCCTGGATCCGCATGAACCCCCCTCTTATTGTGCACTTTCACCTTCCTTCTCAAAGCTCAATGTTTTCCTCATTTAAAACAATTTGCCAACTAGGACTGTTTTCAGATTTTTTTTAAAGAAAGGCTGTTCACAGTGACTTTACCATCTGCTGTCCCTGCCAGGAAGCGCAAGGGCTACTGACTGCAGGCCTGCATCTTAATGTGGAAGAAAGGAACCCCAAGGGCGGCACCACACGCACCCAACCCCCCTTCGAGAAGCCGCCTCTGTGGGAGATTCCCAGGACAGGCCGAGATGGACGACGGGGAGGGAGCTCGGGTCCGTGGACAAGCGGGACAGCCGGCAGCGCCTATGTGTGGAGATCCCATCAGCGGCCCCCTCCTCTTGAGGGAGGGCCCGCGGTCACCTGCAAGCCCTGAGTGACCACCAGAGACAGAAGGGAGGGTCTGACTCGGGAGCCCCCGACCCCGAGGCTGACGCTCAGTGGGGCTGAAAGGCAAGCCAGAGCCTCAGGAGGCCCTCCCACCCCCAGGACACAACAGCACCTGACCGACGACCGCCTGTCGGAGGTTTTATATTCAGATGCACACTAGAAAAATATCTTGATGTGCCAGTAAAGACACAAACTTGAAAAATGACCCTATAAGTGGTCTGAACTTCGACAATAAAGCTTTTTGGGAGAATCTTTTGGGTAGGAGAATAAAATCCAATAATTAAAAAAAAAAAGGTTTATGGCTCAATGCTACTCGGTGTGGGCAAGGTCAGACTGCATCCTGGGCCCCGAGATGCAGGGGAAGCGACAGGGGTTGGGGGAGGTCCCAGGACGGACTGCACCGCTCTGCTTCCTGCACGTGGGCCTCGCGGGCCCGAGTGTAGGGCCCTCTGCACTGGCTCAGATGACCGGAGGCCTGAGGTACGCCGCATCCTCCCCAGGTGGACAACAGAACAACAGAGAAGCCCTGACAGCCTTCATGTCTCAAGTGACTAAATACAGAAACGAGAGAAGAGGAAACAGAAGCTCCCAGGCCTCGGCCCGAGGCAGCTTCCTTCCCCAGGGTGGGAGGCGGACGGGCAGCAGGGTCCCTGCTGACTAGAGGCCTGGAGACTGCTCGCCGCGCCACCAAGTGCGTCTTAGTTGTTTTCGAATCTGGCATATGGGTTTTCTTCTTTAAACAAACCTGAAAACAAAACAAGCCTGATTAGAAATACACTCGGCCACAGGCAACAAGAGCCAGAAAACTGCACGTGAGGCTATGCACGAAGGTTTCCACAGAAGCCCATATGAAAGTTTACTGAAGCCCCAAGGAAGAAAGGTGTGCAAGGAGCTCAGACACTACCCTTCTGAGAACATCACACCACTGGCGATGTTAAAACCCAAGTGAAAGTTACTGGAAACAATACTTATAAGAAAAATAGGTCCTAAGCAAAAAAGACGTGTTTGCTGATCCAGAAAGAAATATGAAAGCCACTGTGTCATCCCTCCGTGGCTGGCTAAATTATACAGAAGAAAACAAAAGCACTATACTTGAGATGCTCCATATAAATCCTGATTAATTTTCAGAATTAAGGCCACAGTTCAGTTGAACTGAACTTGTCAGTTCAACAGTAAAAGAGCTAAACACCCGAAGACCAGGAGCTGTCTGTGTGAGAAGCATACTCTCCCTCTCTCTAAACAGCTGGAGCCACTGCAAAACTCTCCTCCCCGCAGGGCTTGGGGCATGGGGGATGACGGGGCCAGGTGCGGGCAGAGGGAGGGTGCTGTCAGGGGAAGACGGTGAGCTCAGCTGGGGAGAAACACACAGCTGGCTTGGGGTAGGAAACTATCAAGCAGGATTGTTAAGGTCCTGTTGGGAAAAAATACCCAAACCAGCTCCTCGTGCTACTTCTAGTTTGAAGGGAAAAACAGACATAAGCTGCCTTGTGAGAAGGATGCCAAAGGAGCTGGGGTTTTGTCTGCGCTGTGTCTTGTGTGTCAGTCAGGCTCAGCCCTGACCCTGCCCCGAGTTCTTCCCATGGTCGAGGCTTTCCTTCCACAGTCCAGGCCATTCAGAGGGCTTCACACAAACGCACACAAGTTAATTCCATCAATGCAATTACAGGGCAACTGATCAGCTCCTTGAAAGGAATACAGGGAATCTCTGACTGCTCCAGAAAAGGCCTTGTGCAGGCTGGGCACAGGACCGGGGGCGGGGGGAGGGGTGGTGTGGTGTGGTGTGGTATGGTGTGTGTGTATACACACGCATGCGAGCACACACCCACCTGTCTTATTTACATTAATTGTAATCAGATGTCTGACTGCTCCAGAAAAGGCCTTGTGCAGGCTGGGCACAGGTCCAGGTGTGTGTGTGTGTGTGTACACATGCATGCGAGCACACACCCACCTGTCTCTTACTTACATTAATTTTAATCAGATGTCAAAAAGTTCCTTTCTACAATTTCACATTTCAGAGGAAACCAAGTGCAGAAAACACCAATGATTTTGGTGGTTTGACAATCAGCACAGAACCATCTAAACACAGGAGCAGGTTCAATGCTCATAACACCGAAGAAAACAGTTCCCGCAACGGAAAACCTCGCCAAGCAAACACTGAAACAGAACACGACACAGCTCCCAAGACAAGGCCTGAGTGTGGTCACTGCCGAGAGGGTGGGAAGACAGGCCAGGAGCAACTCCAGCCTGAGGGTGGGGGACGCAGGGCCCGGCAGCTCGGAAGCTCCCCCACTGGAAGGTCAATCAGAGCACAGGGGAAGGGAGGCAGCACCTCATGGGCACACAGGTGCCTGGAAGGCCGATGGAGGCACAAACACCTGGGGGGACCAGTGGTCAACCACGTGCTCCCAAGAGCCACCCCCCACATGCAGAGACTGCCTGGCACTGAACGTGACCGGGAAGGCCGGGCCAGCTCCTGCAAACAGAAATGGGGAGCCCATTGTTCTTACCATATTTTTTCCTGATTTCATCATGTCTCAACTTCATCTCCGCTCTCCTAAAACAGAGAAATCTGGTTTAGCACCAAACCACGGCGTAGTTCTAACAGCTGTGCCTCACAGCCTCCGGCCTGGAGCCGGGCCGGCAGGACAGCCTGGCCGCGGCCACGCCCGCTGGCACGGGCAGGTGTCAGCAGGCCCTCGAGGCTGCTCTGATGGCACATCATCCAACTCTTCCTTTTGATAAAACCAATTCCAGTGCCCCTTACTGTGATTTTAGAGAACGTTCTTTTCACATAAAAACAGATCCGCAAAGATCTTCTCCTTGGTTCTGAAGACAGTGGGGAGTACATGGGTCCTGGCCCCTAGCAGCCGCGGGCTGGCAGGTCAGCCCCCCAGCCCTGGCCGCACCATGCACACTCGCCAAAGGGCTCCAGGACCAGGGGCACGTGGCCACCAGAGCACTGGTCACACGAGAGGCCCAGTCAGGCTCCAGACGGACAGGAGCCCTAGTTAAGTGCCTTCCTCCTGCTGAGCCTCTACTGGCTCAGGACCGGATGACCCGCTAGAGGCCATGCCGGCCCAGCCCCCACACTCAGCTTCCCACCCTCCATACCGCCCTGAGAAAACCCTGCGGACACTCCACGTGGGCCCGCTCTTCAGACGTGGAGGAAGCCTGGGCAGCAGGAGCGCCCCACCCTGCCGCCCCCGGATCAGGCTGGGCCTCACCGCTCCTCCTGCCGGACCCGGCGCTCCTCTCGCTCCCGGATGGCCTTCTCCTCGCTCTTGTCCGGCCGTCGGCTCCGGCTCCTCCTGCAGCAGCAGAAGCAGCAGATGGCAACCCCCAGGAGCAGGGAGCCCCCGATCACTGACATGGCGATGATCAAGGCCTCAAAGTTCACTGCAGGTGCAAAGGCGCAGAGTTAGGGGCCTGAGCGCTCCCAGCAGCACCCCTCCCTGCAGGGTCTCCAGAACCAGGAGCGCCCCTCCCCCATGGGGTCTCCAGAACCAGGGACGCCCCTCCTCGTGGGGTCTCCAGAACCAGGGACGCCCCTCCCCCATGGGGTCTCCAGAACCAGGGACGCCCCTCCTCGTGGGGTCTCCAGAACCAGGAGCACCCCTCCCCCATAAGGGGTCTCCAGAACCAGGGATGTCCCTCCCCAAAGGGTCTCCAGAACCAGGGACGCCCCTCCTTGTGGGATCTCCAGAACCAGGGATGTCCCTCCCCAAAGGGTCTCCAGAACCAGGGATGTCCCTCCTCATGGAGTCTCCAGAACCAGGGATGTCCCTCACCAAAGGGTCTCCAGAACCAGGGATGCCCCTCCTTGTGGGGTCTGCAGAACTAAGAGTGCCCCCCCTCGTGGGGCCTCCAGAACCAGAAGCGCCCCTCCTCATGGGGTCTCCAGAACCAGGAGCACCCCGCCCCCATGGGGTCTCCAGAACCAGGGCTGTGGCGGCAATACCCCACCTTCCTCCAGCCTGTTTCTGTGACTGAGTCACCAGTTTCCATCAACTTCAAGCAACAGGTAACTTTCCTCATCACCTGATGCTGGAGAGATGTTTCCAGCCTGAGAAAAGCTGACAAAACCAGGGAGACCAGCCCTGCTGACGACCTGAGTCAAAGGCCAGCAGGAGGCAAGTCGGCCTGTGCAGGCCAAGGGCCCGCCAGAGCCATGGCCCAGGCCAAGGGACACCCAGGGCCTGGAAAACGGCACTGCCGCCATCAGCTGACTATGGTTTCCTGTCCAGACCAAACACACTTAGGACAAGTTCCAATTCTTTCCAGCTTCTCTTGAGGGTTTACAAATTAAAACCAGCCAGCCAGTACTTTTCCACTCCATTCACACCAGAGCCTCTCACAGGACAGCCTGGCACCGTCCAGGCAGCCCAGCCCCGCCCTGTACTCCTGGATAGTGGTGTGACCCTCCCATGATAGTCTGCAGCACTGGACTTGCCTCATGGAGCTGATAACCTTCGACCCTGCCGGTTCCTTGGCTGGGGGTGGGGGAGGCAGATGCCTGCCGCCCTGGTACCCCCACCCCAGAGCCACCTCAGGCTGCCAGCGTGACAGTGCTGGCCATGAATCTTGTGTTTTTTTCTCTCCTGACCTATCCTGAAGTGCCAGAAACACAAGAAATAGTAGTAACACAAGACCCTTGCAAGGAGGGGGTCTAACTTTTGGACTAGAGAACTCCCAAACAATCAACTTTAAAAACCGGTCAGACAGAGAGGACCCTGGCTCTAAGACACACCTTGCCCCCACAGGAGCCTTTCTCGTCAGCAGCTAGACCCAGTTATAAAGCAAAAACAGAAATCTCACCATGATGGGGAACAGGGCGTAACAGACCTGAGCAAAGAGAGACCCGGTCCTGGACAACGGGCCAAATGGCAGACTTCACTGTTCTCCAACTAAATGTATACATTTAAGGTTGTCACAATCACAACCCCACATGATTATGCCTAGAACTGGATAAGATGCCCATCATCTCTTAAAACAGAAAGCACATGGGGCCCAGGCCTGCGTGGGAGCGAGGTGTGCTGTGACCAGGTGAACCAGGAGTATCTCCAGCTGCCCAACCGCAAGGCTCCCCTGGACGAGATCCCAGCTCCCTGCCTGCCCGAGGATGAACCCAACAAGTCCATCACACTTTCTCTTGGGAACTGCGGACATTCCACCCTCCTATTACCACAAAGACTGCCCCCCCCCCAGCACCTCCTCACCCAGTGCGAGCCTGCGTGGAATGCAGAGTCCCCCTCCCCAAACTGCCCAGTGCAAGATGTCCTGTGTCCAGCCTCACTCACAGCCCCAGGGCTGGAACCTCACATCACTGACAAGGACCGACTAAGGCCCCACCCTGCCCGAAGCAGCATAGACTGGGGTGGCCACTCCTGAGAAACGTGTGGCTGATAGGCTAAACTGCTGGTGTGAGCCAGCAGTCTGGTCCTAAGGGCATGCCCAGGGCGGTAGGCGTCTGCGTTCAGCCCACACAGGAGCACACAGCAGCCCACATACAGCCCGATGTCCACCAGCACACCATAGCAGTTGCCCGTGGGGTCCCAGGGGAGAGGAAAGTACTGGATGTGGTCTGAGTGGCATCACCTGCAGGATCCTATGACAACCCACTGAGTACACGTGTGTGTGTGTGTGTCCACACACATGTGCATGCATGTCTGTTTGTCCTCTACAGTACAAGTGTGTGTTCACACACACGTACATGCGTATGTGTGCATGTCCTCTAGAATACAAGTGTCTGTACACACACACACATGTGCACATGCATGCGTGTACTCTATAGAGTTCAGGCCTGGAGAGAGGGGGTGAGGGCTCAAGTGCGCACTGTGTTAGGAGCCACGCTTCCAACTGTTAAAAGCACTTTAACAGTTAAAGCCCAAGATGCCCACGGTTCCCTGGAGCCAGAGCCGTCTCTGTGGAACAGCTGGGAGGGAAGGTCCCGGGGAGACAGACACCAGGACGAAGCAGACACTGGCGAGGCCCAGGGAGCCTTTCTGGGGTGAGGGTGGCCATGAGGCCAGCCAGCTGTGTGGACATCAACAAGCATGTCTCTACACGTGTGCATGCACGCACATACACACACCCCCCACACAGACACAAACTTCTGGGTCCCTGAGGTTTCAGTGGGTGAAATGAGAAGTGAGTTGTTCAGTTGAAGGCTGACAGATTCTGAGAGAGAAATCGTTTAGAAAAAGAGGTAACAGAGACTAAATTGCAGATGAACCCAAGATGCAAACACACAAACGGACCGTCACAACTCCCTGTGAGAGCACCAGCTCCCACAACCTGCAGCCAGGCAGGCCTCTAGAGGGCCCCGAACCTGAGCTACTAAAGAAAGGATTAATAAGCCCAGCTCATAAAAATGAGTTCCAGGTGGCAGCCCGTACCAGCCACCACCTCACATGGCCACTAGAAACCAGCCTGGGTCTCACCGAGTGCGCGTCTCCCCAGAAGCACCACCACCGGGACAGGTGCTGACACCACCTGCACGGCCCTGGGACGTGGGGAAGACGCCTGCAGAACCGAGGCCATGGCCCTCATACCTGGGCCACCCCTCTCTCAGACACCAGCACTCTCACAGGCCATTCCCACTTCTGGTGTCTTCCCTTCATTAAGCACAACCAGAATGTTCAAAAAGACACTGGTTTTGCAAGACACCAAAGAAAGTGGCGACTCACCCCAGCACACGCCCCAGCGTGCAGAGCTCAGCCGGCAGAGGGAGCTGGGCGGCAGGATTTTGGTCACTGGGTAGTCCAGGCACATCTTGTTCGTGTTGCACCAAAGGCACTGGAAGAGACGACGTAGGATGCCAGGTGTCAGACAGGCCAGGGTCTGCCCTGTACTGCCCCCCCCCCCACTGCTGTTCCCCCTCAACGCCCTCCCCAACACAGCAGCTCACCTCCACCCACCCACCAAGGCCCTCCTCACTCAACCAGGCACCCCAAGCCTCGTGGCTTCCTGCAGCACTGGCAGGAAGGCAGGCACTGTGTGCTTCCCCATGTCCTCATTGGAGGGTCCACATCTCTTGCAGGAGGGACCAAGCCAGGCAGTTGAGTGGTGTCCACCCAAGGTTATTACCCTGCAAAGACCCTAACTTGACCTCTACGACTGCTCCGAGTGGTCCGTTTTAAAGACGATGCAACTGAAGAGAAGCAGAGCCAGTGAGCCTGAAGCCGGGCTGCCTGTGTCCCTGGAACACGTGGTGGGGACCTGGCTGGCACATCAGGCAGGGGCCCAGAGCCGGGCAGGTGCCGGCTTAGACGGGAGGTCTGAGCCACCTAACAAGCCCACCCAGGTTAGAACATTCTGGGTATTTTTATGCTTGAAAGTAAAGATTTCACCAAGTTGTTTTTCTTCCAGGTTTTAACAGGATGGAGAACAATGTTATTTTTCCATCCCAAGTTAGGGTGAGAGTCTGTTACCAAAAAAATGTCGCAATGAAACCTGGGGTCCCAGGACCACCGAGGCAGTGTACACTCTGGTGCCTCATGTTCAAAATGACAAATAGCAGCAAGGCCTTCTTCATTTTGGCCATTTGAGGATCCCTTCCATTTCAGTGGTTCTTTCCTGAGTTAAAAATTGAGGGGAAATCTTCCATTTTAAAACCATCAAGTTTTAAACATCTCATCTTCCATTCTTTCCCTGCAGTTTTACCGAGCGCCCCTGGAGCACACTGCAGTAAGTTCTCCTCTGGGGCAGTTCTGCCACCATCTCTCTCCTGTTTTTAGATAACGAGGTACAAACACGTGGTGAACCACACGGGGCGCTGGCAGGCTGCAGGAGCCTATGGACCCTTCCGGCAGCTCTGGCGCTTTGAGGAGTCCCACACTGAGGCCTGGCTTTCCTCTGCACTCTCACTTTTGGTTGCCCTGGGCTTCACTGCTGGTCAGCCTTTTTCTCTAGGTGCAGCGCGTGGGCTTCTCACTGTGGTGGCTTCTCCTGTCCCAGGGCATGGGCTCCAGAGCACGGAGGGACTTAGCTGCTCCAAGGCATGTGGGATCTTCCCAGATCAGGGATCAAACCCGTGTCTCCTGCATTGAGCAGGTGGATTCTTCACCACTGAGCCACCAGGAAAGCCCTCCCCTGCCTGGGTTCAGAGTTGGAGTCAGGCCTTCAGAGGATGTGTGCACCCACTGTCATCTGGGCACCCCAACCCCAGAGATGAGAAAGAACATGGGGCGCTCTGTCTCAAGGCGCTCTGTCTCCCCTCAGCAGGAGAGCTGACGCTCAGCACTGGGTGAGAAGAGGGGGGCTGGGAGGACTCCAGGCACACCTGCCACGTCTCAGGGCCCATGTGTAGAACAGCCCAGCCCCTGTCCCAACAGGCCTGCAAGGTGGAATGACGCCCAGGAAGCCCTGGACACAGGTCCACAGTCACAGACTAGGGGGTAAACATGCCTCCCCACCTCCAAGCACCTGCGCTCACCCAACACCACACCTGCGGGCTCCGGGGCTCACACGCGTTCCTGGCCTTGAGCCCATCACACATTTGCTCTCAGGAGCTGAAGCTACACTTTAATAACTCGGTGGTGTGTGCGGCTCTCCTGAGATAGCTTAAATCGCCCGAGAAAAGCTGTTACTGACTGCCCTGAACCCCACACCATGCACACAGCCCCTGGAGTCAGAGCTGGCCAGTGTGCTTCTGGATCATGCACTGACCATGTACCACTTACCGAGACATTTTTCAGGCACTCTTCACAGGTTCTGCTTGTGTTCTGAGAACAACCTGCAGGGAAAGAATGAACATCACTGAGAACCCTGCAGTGTCAACACCAGGAGGGCACAGCGAGCCATGCTCAGAACCTGGAGAGGGACAGCCAGCCTTCAAGGTGCACGGCTGAGCCTCTATAAGCGGAATCCTGTGGGGACATGCCAGCAGCCCTGACCCCGGGGTCTCCCGGGAGACAGCCGCCTGCCTCTTGCTTGGGCACCACTGACCAGCTCCTCAGCAGACACTCTGGAGCCGACGGCCACAGCAGCGCCAGGCTGGGCTTGAGCCAGGCCTCAGCCCCCGGCCAGTCCCCCAGGCAGAAGGGAGAAGCCGTTTTAACCCCGTGGAGCACCCCGCACACCCCCGCCCTTCAGGCATCTTCCTGGGACAGCCACTACAGGAAGGACTCAAAGCTGAGCAGCTAACAGCTCTGGAACTAAAGCCAGTCAGGGGAGAGCTGGTGCACGAACAAAGACTCTCCAAACCACCATCAAGCAGCTGCTCTTCACCCCAGGCTTCCCTGACATGCGCACACACGAGAGGCCTGAGCACAACCCTTGGCCACCAGGAAAGGCATAGGAGGCACAGTCAGGTCCCACTTCACACCCACCAGAACTAAGGATGTGAAACAGTGGTGAGGATCGGGGGCTCTCGGCGAGTCAGTAGGTGTGCAGAACGGCTCAGCCACTTGCAAACAAACAGATGCTCCGCCGAGACTCAGCAGTTCCACTCTCAGTTTTGTGTGTCCCAGACCCACCAGGACCCACGTGCACAGGAGGGCTGACGGCAATCTTTACAAATGGGAACAGCAGAGAGCTGAACACAGCCCAGGGGTCCAGGCACCGTGCGTGCCCCTTGGCCTCCCCGCAGGTCCGGAGAGCCGCCAGGCGGCTCCTCCTGCCTAGTGGGAACACGTGCCCCTCCCAGCACCATCTCCTCCTCACACGCAGTGCCTGGGGGCAGGGGTCAGAGGTGACTGCAGAGTCCTGCAGTGGGACACTCTTCAGTCCTGAAGAGAAGCGCGCCTGCACACACGACTGTACAGACCATGAGGGCAGGGAGAGGCCCCCACAAAGGCCCACAGCACAGGGTTTGGGACAGGTGAGACTCAACTGAGGCAGGCAGGTCAGACTGGGTGGGGCCCCGACCGCTGGCGACGCCTATTCTGAGGCTGGAAAGAGGTCAGGGTTGCACAGGTGGAATGCACTCGACGGCACACGTAGGTTCCTGCATCTCACTGCACATAGAATGAATGGATCTAAGGAAAGAGGAACACTGAGCTCTTGATAAAGACGTGTGCATGGAGGCACGGAGGTGTCTGTAATTTCAGAATGTGACAAACCCAATGGCGGGCAGAGGAGTGCTCACCACCTGGGTCCCCCAACTCCCTGGACTTCCTGAGAGTCTCATGATAAAATGAAGGACAGGGAGCTTTAGGTCTAAGTCACAATCTCATTCATAACGTTTGCTGACCAGGACCTGTACTGTAAACTGCTACCTGAGAGGGCTGGGAGCACTTCTCTTCAATACTGCAGCTCTTGTACATCCCATTTTTGTCACAACATACCATTCTAAGACAATCACTATTAAATAGCACCCTTCTCAGAGCCTCCAGTGAAGTGCTGTTAAGTTTGTGCTGAAGCTGATTTTAAACTACTTTGACACATTCAGCCCAGGAGGGCAGAGGAGGCTAACAGCCCCCAAATGCCTCTCACAGCAGGGCCGAGAGGGCAGGGTTGCAACAGGGGTTCAGAGCCCCCCTACCCCCAGCCTTGAATGGCAGGAGGGGGAGCCCCGCGGGGCTGCTCTAAGGACAGCTTCACCTGAAAGCTGAATTCTGACTTCTGTCCACCAAGGGGCTGAGGGTAGATGACACTGTCCCCACTACAAGGCACTGGGCTCCGTGCAGGACAACAGCTGGCCCCACAACTGGGGCAAAGACGACACCATCACCTCGGACAGCCTGCTGCCTCTGAGAGTGACACAAAGGCCCAGAAGCCAGCGTGGGTGGGGGGTCCTCCTTGCCAAACTGGCACGACTTAAACATCAGAGTGATGGACTCTCACCTCCTCAACGTTCATGATTTCACACTAGCACGGAATAAACAGAGAAGGACAACCAGCCAAGAGTCTCCATCACAATGGACGCCAAGACCACTGAGCCATTTGTGGAGGGACAAGAGATTACATTCGGTCACAGAGCACCCCGCCACCCCACTTAACTGTACTTAGGAAGAGAAAAGGCACCCAAAGAGTGATAAACGTATTGCCGCGACGACCTATGACCACAGAACCACAGGACCAGTGGCAGAAGGTGCCTCCGGGGGTGGAGAAGGATAGTCACCCAGTGGCTGAACCCTCCCCACAGGCACTAGAATCAGATCAGAGGAAACTGATGGGACCGCAAAGAGGCCGCCCCAGGGGAATGGAGGCTAAGAGACATCACAGCCAAAAGCAACACGAGTGCCCAGTGTCAGTGGCCAGAGGATGCTACTGGGTGATCCGTGTGCATGGGGTGTGTGTTAAATCAAGTGTTCAGTAGCATCCTAAGGGTCACCATGCAGACCTGACTGTCACGTTCTGCTGATATCTTCCTTCTTAGGAGATACACCCTGACAAACTTAGGGCAAATGGCCACATGACAACTTGCTCTCATCAGTCTGGGTAATCCAACTTTCCTGGCGGTCCAATGGGTAGGACTTTGCACTCTCACTACAGTGGCCTGGGTTCAGTCCCTGGTCAGGGAATTACAGTCCCACAAGCCACATTGTACCGCCAAAATAAGCCGTCCCAGGCAGATACAGACAGGAAGGCAGAGCACACGTAGCCAAGGCTGCAAGAACAGACAGGGATTCTGGAGTTCACTGCACCATCTTTCCTTCAACTTTATCTGCAGCTCTTAACTTTCTCTAATAAAGCGCTGGACAGGGAGGCATGGTGGGGATCTATCTGCATGACACCTAACACATCCACTCTCGATTCCTTCTGAAAAACTGAAGAAAGCCTGGACTTCCTTGTCGTCAATCTTAACAGAGGCCAAGAGAGCAACAGTAATAAAGCAGAGGAATTCTTCATGAGGAATTTCCAATGCAGAAGCCTGTGTGACAACTGGTCTTGCAGGAACTAGCAGACCTGTCCAGCCCAGGGTCTCCAGGTCACGGGCCAACACAAGTCAACAGAGAAGCCAAAAGGGGCAGGCCAAGGGGACTGCCTCGCCCTCCTGCTCCCAGCACGGCCTGGAACCGCCGGGCAGGTTCTCAGTGCAGAAACATCAATGTTATACAGCCCTCACAAAGTCAGCACAAAGCGGTTGAAAACTCCAGGGCGTAGTAAGGAAAACATGTTAACTATTAACATCTGATTCAGAGACCAGGCATTCTTGGTCATTCAGGGCATTTTTATCTCATCATGGAAACAGGGAAATCTGGAGCCAAAAAGCCCACCCAAGATCCCAAGCTTGAAGGGGCAATGTCGCTGAAGGCGGGCTCTCCAGCTTGGACTCTAAGCCAGTGACTAGAGAACCTTAAGTCTTGTGCTCTCAGGAAACTAAGCTAAAGAAAAAGGGTTCTCAGGACATACCAGCCATGGTACACGTGAGTTCTTTCCTACAGTTTCAGGTGAGTCTTGCTTAACCAAAGAAGGACACACACTACGTGTATGAAGAGGCATGTTTTCTAACAACAAGGAAACAATAAGCATATTTCCTGTGGAACATAACAGACTAGAGGCCTGCATTCGGCCATGCCAGTGGCAGTGGAAGGTCCCCAGAATCAGGCACTGTGGCCATGGCGCAGGGTGAAAGGACACGTGGGGCGGGGGGTGCTGGGGCTGTCACCTTCACAGGAGAAATGTAGAGGCAAGTTCATTTAGAAAGTCCTGGCTGTCTTACCACCTCGGCAGAAAAGGGGGAAGGAGAGTACAGAGCAAGGCAAAGGTTCAGACCCATGCACGCACCCATTGCCTTGTGACCTGCTTGGGAGCCCCCTTCCCCCCGTTTTTAGCAGCAGGACCGCAGTGCTGCTGGACTGAAGAGTGCTGAAGGAGCCCCACCTCCACCCCCAGCTCCTCTGGATCCCTCTGTTTAGGACAACAGACTGAGGTCCTTTCAGGGGTCGCCTTCCCTCTGGATGTAAAGATGAAATTCAGCTGGAGTCTGACCCCATACACAAATAAAGTGGGGCCCAAAGCCCACGAAACTTCTTCAATTCAATGAATCTCTCCGAAGCTCTTCAACACCTTGTGGGTTCCTAACGCCTCCCCTCCACCCAAGCGCACAGCAGAGAAGACATGGCTGGTTCTGGATTGTCATGACGGTCTTTGAGCTCACACACCTGTCTATCTGTCTGGGCTAAGGGATGCCGAGAGAGCTGGTAAAACACCGAGAGAGCTGGTAAAGCACCGTTTCTCTTTTCGTTTTTACGAAGACTTTTTTCGTCTTCTTGGCCACGCCTCATGGCTTGCAGGATCTTAGTTCCCCGAACAGGGGTGGAACCGGGGCCCCTGGCCGTGGAAGCACCGAGTCCTAACCACTTGATTGCCAGGGAATTCCCAAAACACAGTTCCGGTAGTATCTGTGAAAGTGTTTCCAGAAGAGATTAGCATCTGAACGGGTGGACAGATGAAAGCACTGGCCCTCTCCAAGGAGGTGGGCATCTCCCAATCCACTGAGGCCCTGACAGAACAAAACGGCAAGGCAGCACGAATCTGCCTTATGAGCTGAGATGTCATCTCCCCTTGCCAGTGAGCCTTTGGGCTTAGACTGCACCGTGACTCCCTGGCTCCCTGCTGCCTGGCCTTGAGGTGTGGACTGGACCACACGCCAGCTCTCCCTGGTTGGGCAGACAGCGGCTCATGGGGCTCCTCAGCCTCACGGTCCCGTGGGCCAGTCCCTCATAACTCTACATATATCCTGCTGGTTCTGTTTCTTTCAGGTAATTTTTCCTGACTAATACACACAGCATCCTTGCAAGGAATGCAAAGTATCTTAGATGGTGTAGTCACATTCCTATAGCATGACAAGCAGTAAAATCACACAGCAAGCCCAGGCTCTGTGGGAAAGGGGCACCTCAATGCTCAGTGTGGCTAGAAAAACAGCGGCTTTCCTCCTGAAATAGAGCCTGGTTTCATTCCCAAACTGTCACAGGACCCGCCCACTCAGCTCACAGGGGTCTCTGGCGGCTTCAGAAGTCCAGGGCTAAGCCAGCATGAAGAGCAAGCAGCCAAACACATCGGGGGCGTTTCCTGACACACCCACTCTAACAATCCAAGAGCACAGGCCCTTCAGCCACCGAGGAGAGGCTCTCGGATGATAGCAGATTTGGCTCTCATCCATCCTGTTTAGTAAAGAGCACTCCCAGGTCAATCAGACCAGCTCACAGGGCTCCTTGGACCCATGGTCACGGGAGCCAGGTCTTCCTGACAACTCTTTCTCTTCAGCTACATATATCCTGTTGTGCTGAAAATTCACATTTGTGCTGAAAAGTCAATTTCAACCAAAAGTTCCCTATTCTGTGCAAATCCACTGCTGCACTGAGAGACAATGTCACAAGTGTGCACCCAAATGTGTTCAGAAGGAGACTGAAGAGACTCATGCAGCGCTGCACGCAGACACATGCTCAAGCCACACAGAGGAGAGGTGCCTTGCAGGGCTAAACAGAGTTGATGCAGCTACAGCTGACCAGAGCTGAGAAACGCCCCAGCCCCTCAGGCTGGCCCAGGAGGGTGAGGTGGCCAGCCAGAGGCTGTGTGCCCCACACTGGTGATTACCCCCCATCCCCCGCACGCCACACACAGCTCCCCCATCAAACCCTCCAAGGTCCCCACCCACCTGCAGATCACCCACAGGACACTGCCCTCCAGCAGCCCCTTTTCTGGAGCTTCTGAGCTCTTAGGTCATGCACCCTCCTCACCCCTCACCCCTCACACTGCTGTTTCCAGGTCAGGCGGCCCAGGAACTCAGCACTTCCATCAGCCAGGCACCATGTGGGCTCAGCACCTGGCCCAGGTGGTTACTGAGAAGTGGTGGGATAAACGAGGAGGACCACCCACCTGCCCAAGTAGGGAAGGTCTGCAGAGCCTAAAACCTGGGCGGCAGGGCAGGCCAAGATCAAGCACTGGCTGCTGACCCTGGAGCTCCTCAGAGGGGTCTACTCTGCACAGTGGGCATCGGTGGAAGGGCTGCACACAGGTCTCCTCGACCTGTTGTCGAGCAAAGCCCTCCAACACACCAGCTGTGCCCACACAAAGGCCAGGCCCCTGGACTCCAGCCGCTGACCTGCTGTGGGTCAAGCGAGCCCTAGAGCTCTGCTTCCGACCCCGGGTCCACAATCGACAGCTCTTTCCCAGGGCAGCAGGGCCATTAAAGAGGGGACAGCGCGCTCGGCCAGGCCGCCCCGCGGTCCCGGACCACCCCGAACGCTGAGCCAGGACAAAGGGCCGGTCCAGACCACGAACGGACATTCGGGTGGCTCCCGGCCGTCCCCGCAAACCGCGCGGGCCTGGAGCAGCGACCCCGGGCGGCTGCGACCCCCTGCCCTCCGCGCTCCTTGACCTCGGCCCAGCTCCCCCTGTCCTCACCTAGCCCGGTCCCCTCGACCCCTTGACCCTGTGCCCGCCGACCACCCTCACCCTGCGCGGCGGCCGCCGGGAGGAGCAGCAGGATCAGCGCAGCGCCGCCGAGTGTCAGTCCCCAGCGCGGCGTCGGCCCGCGGACTCCGCCGGACGCCATGGCGGCTGCGGCCTTGACGGTCGACCGTCGTCTCCTTCCTCGTCTGGACGCGCCCCACCTCGGACCCAGGCCAGGCGCCTTCGCCCGGAAGAGCCGCACGCCGGAAGTGGGCGGGGCGACGGCCGAGCCACTGCGCAACAGGGGCCCCGCCCATCGCCCGCCGGCCTGCTCCCAGCTGTTGGCGATAGCGCCTCACGGTGCGCGGCTCAATGCGCCTGCGCGGCGGGAAAAAAACGGCCGGCCGCGGGATCCGTGAGGCTTAGTGCGCCTGCGCGACAGCGAGGGCTAGTTCGGCTGGGGCGCCCCCGCGGCCTTGGCCCACAAAGGGGTGCAGCAGCTCTCCAGGAATCAGGAAGTGGCGCTGCTTCCTGGATTGGTCTCGCAGGCGGTGCAGAACCAGCGCGCTAGGCCCCCACTCCCGCCCAGACACCCAGATCCTCGCACGCCCCTCACCTCCTCGGGGCTCGGCCGCGGCTGGCCCTCTCCTGGGAGGTCTGCAGGCTGCAGCTCCGGCCCCGATGGCCTCAAGAAATGATAAATAATATATATTGCAAGAGTCCAGTTGCTTCCTTGTGTTTGTGTTTGAAAAAGTGCAATGTGGCTTCGGGGATGGTACAGGGAAGCCAGAGACCCATCAGCTCAGCTTCCGGGGTCCCTGACTTGTGGCTTCCTGGACCAGTCTGGTAAGACCACCTCCCCTGGTAGAAGCAGTGCTGAGATCAGTAGTGGAGCTTCTGTCTCTGGGTGGGGTGGGGGGGCAGAGTCTCTGTGAATGAAAGTGAAAAGCCACTCAGTCGTGTCCGATTGTTTGCTACCCCATGGATTCTAGTCCATGGAATTCTCCAGGCCAGAATACCCAGCAGCTCTTCCCATCCCAGGGACTGAACCTGCGGTCTCCTGCATTGCAGGCAGATTCTTTACCAGCTGAGCTACCAGGGAACCCCAGAGTCTCTGTGATCTTTGATCCCATTCAGGATCCAAGCGTAGCTTACTGGGTCCTGTCCCACCACTGTCCCACACCTACCTCGACCCTGACTATTGCTGTGAAATCTGGGGCAGGGGCTTCGTAGCCCAGCATGGAATCTAGCTGGCACTGGGGAAATAGGCGGGGTGCAGACAGATGGCCTGCTACCATTTGAAGCAGGGTGTATCTGTCCCCCGCCAAAGATTGAAAGGAGCCAGGGAAGGAGGGAGCGCTGAGTCCTGGCCCCTAGACCACCAGGGACAGCAACTAGTGACAAGGCCCTCGCCCAGCAGCTGTGTAAGAGGAATTTCCACGTAGAAACAGAAAGCAGTGAGACAAGTCTTTATTAGAAGGAAAAAGAGCATGTGTGGATGGACACACAAGCAGGCTCAGAAGGAGATTTGTGGCCTCGAGGTAGCTTGGATCACTTTTATGAGTATTTCTTCCTGAATCTCGTTTGGCCACTCATCTTGCTTTGCCTGCTGCTGAGTCCATATTCGGTTTATCTCAGGGTGCTCCCATGTGTGCGCACCTCTTAACCAAGATGGATTCCAGCAAAGAGGCCTGCGGGTAGGTTGACATCACATGCTATGAGGTGGCACCCCCTCCCTTTTTGACCTCCAACAAGCCTTTCTGTGCATGTCTAGTAGGAGAGTTCTTAACTTCGAGAATGAGGAATATGCGATCATTTATCTTGTCCTCCATCATCCTGCTGTTTTGCCGAAAGCTTCAACTTCCCTTTTAGGTTCAACAAATTTGTTAACCAAAGAAACCACTCGTTATACACAAATAAATTAAATATTTAATAGAGAATTATCTAACTTACTTTCAAAATACTGTTGAATGAAAAGATACACAAAGTGAGAGTTATGAATTAAGTTTTATTTGGGGTAAAATGAGGACTGCAGCGTGGAAGACAGCCCCTCAGATAGCTCTGAGAGATTGCTCCAAAGAGGTAGTTGGGAAGATCAGTACATAAGATTTTGGTGCAGGAGGAGTTCAATGCAATCAAGCGCTTACTTTACAAAAGGTTTTCTACTAGGCATGAGGAGCTGATGTCACCATGAAGGGATTCAGTGCTTTTCTAGATATGAAGAGAGTCAAGGACTGGGGTCATGAAATCAGTTTCTGAAAATACCTCACTATCTAAAGACCTGTTCCACCAGTCTCCCTGGAGCCAGAGTGCCTCACTCTCCACTGTGATACCCTTCGGAGGGTGTTGAGGATCAGCAGGTGCTGCAGCACAGGGCTCAATCCCTGCAGAGGCAGATGGCATTTGTTACTGTTATTGTCATTGTTATTGTTGTTGCTCAGTCATGGCAAATGACCTTGGCAAGTGCCAATTTGTAATCGACAGGGCTCTCTCATGGTCATGCTGCTGCTCCTGCTGCTGCTGCAAAGTCGCATCAGTCGTGTCCGACTCTGTGAGACCCCACAGAGGTCGGCAGCCCACCAGGCTCTTCCATCCCTGGGGTTCTCCAGGCAAGAACACGAGTGGGTTGCCACTGCCTTCTCCAATGCATGAAGATGAAAAGTGAAAGTGAAGTCGCTCAGTCGTGTCCGACTCTTCACAACCCCATGGACTATAGCCCACCTGTCTCCTCCGTCTGTGGAATTCTCCAGGCAAGAGTACTGGAGTGGGGTGCCATTGCCTTCTCCATCTCGTGGTCATAAATTGGACCATACTTTGGGAGGTGTTTCATGATCATTTCACCCCCACATTGCTAGGAAGGCTCATTCCTAGTTCTGGAGAAGATTTTGCTAACAGGCCACTCAATGTGCTTTTACTGGACTAGGTCTTAATAGTCAAAGACCTCTGGACACCTGTCTTCTAGTTACGGTCCAGGAAAGTATACCTTCTCTGCATCTTCCAATACTGTGAGCTATACTATAACAATCACTGATCACAAACTGAGTTATACATTTGATCAACTGCTTCAAGTCTAGTCCTCATTATTTTCATTTGTGGCTCAGTGATACACTTGGTAATACAAGAAAAAATAATCTTGTAAAACAGGCAAAATACAAATAACATAGCTAATAACATTAGTGGAATTATGAGTAAATATTTCAGCCATGAGTCTCCCACACCAAACCTGTCATTTTGCTAATCTCTGTGAAGCTGCCAGGTATCCCATTAAAATATTTATCCAAAAGTCCTTTCTATAAATCTTGAAGAGAAAGCATTTTTGAAAAAATTGGTTACCGCTGTGACAACACTTTAAGATAGTAACTAGAATTATAACTGATAACATTTTACCAGGACATATCAGAATTTTAGAAACTAAGACTTCCCAGATGGTGCTAGTGGTAAAGAACCCATTTGTCAATGCAGGTAGGTGTAAGAGATGTGGGTTTGATCCCTGGGTCAGGAAGATCCCCTGGAGGAGGGCATGGCAACCCACTCCAGTATCCTTGCCTGGAGAATCCCACGGACAGAGGAATTCAGCAGGCTACAGTCCCTGGGGTCTCAGAGAGTCAGATACGACTGAAGCAACTTAGCAGGCACATAATTTCTAGGATATTTTTATTAGTAATATTTACCACACTATAACCTGAGGAGATTTATTGCTCGTTTGACAATACTTCCCAAATAATTCGACATACCAAATGAACCTAATTAGTTTAATATCTCTCTTTGGGATGTTTCAGGGGCCCTCTGAAGCCTCCCAAAGTTACTGAGAAGTCAAAAGTGTTTCATTAGTTTTTGACTTAGGAAGTTTTGTCAGTAAATATCAAAAGAGTTTAGAACATTCAGTCAGATAGGATCATAGGTCACGGTGACAATAGCTATTTACTTAGCCAAAGTAACCAAAAAGGATTTCAAAGGCAAATAAAGAACAGATTATTTTAAGAGGTAAAGAAACTTAAATCTGTTATTAAAGGCAGTTCATGTAAAGTAATTAGCCTCCAACTAATAAAAATAAATGGAAAAAAAAAATAAAGGCAGTTCAACATCTGAAAAAAGCATATCCTCTTAATGGAGAGAAAAGTCAAATTCAAGATTTTAAACTAACTTACTTTTAAATTCATTTAAAAGTAAACTTAATTAAATTTATTTTAAACTCAGTCTGTCCTGACCCTGCCCAAAACTCTTTGCTCAGGGTCCACTATCCACAAACCTTCGCATCATTTTCTGTACACATTGATTTGTTCTGACATCCTGAAACAGCCACTTGTAAGTCAGACATACTTCCTTTTCCCTTCATAAAATGCAATCCATTCCTCATACCTTCTTTATCAAAAACACACAACCTACTTTCCTTAAGCAACCCAAAACTGACCTTAACATTGGCATTCTATAGATTGATGAGCACAAATGTTGTTGTTCAGTCGCTCTGTCTTGTCCAACTCTTTATAACCCCAAGGACTGCAGCACGCCAGGCTTCCCTGTCCTTCACTGTCTCCAGGAGTTAGTTCAAACTCATGTCTATTGATTCAGTGATGACATCCAACCACCTCATCCTGTGTTGCCACCTTCTCCTCCTGCCTTCAATCTTTCCCAGCATCAGGGTCTTTTATAATGAGTTGGCTCTTTGTATCAGGTGGCCAAAGTATTGGAGCTTCAGCTTCAGCATCAGTCCTTCCAATGAATATTCAGGACTGATTTCCTTTAGGATGGACTGGTTGGATCTCCTTGCAGTCCAAGGGACTCTCAAGAGTCTTCTCCAGCACCACAGTTCAAAAGCATCAATTCTTCGGTGCTCAGGCTTCTTGATGGCTCGACTCTCACATCCTCACATGACTACTGGAAAAACCATAGTTTAATTATACAGACCTTTGTCGGCAAAGTGATGTTTCTGCTTTTCAATACATTGTCTGGGTTTCTCATTGCTTTTTTTCCAAGGAGCAAATGGCTTTTAATTTCATATCTGCAGTCACTGTCTGCAGTGATTTTGGAGTTCAAGAAAATAAAATCTGCCACTGTTCCCACTTTTCCCCCATCTGCTGCTGCTAAGTCACTTCGGTTGTGTCCCACTCTGTACAACCCCATAAACAGCAGCCCACCATGCTCCCCCGTCCCTGGGATTCTCCA